TGATATAATGTTTTCTGCTTTGCTTGGCCTGTCCACTCTGTAGCTCAATTTGCTCTGTAGCTCTGGATTTTGCAGAATGTATTGAATCTGGGGGGCTATTGGGATACTGATAAAGAAGCTCCCATTGTTAATTAAGGGTGGTTGGGTCAACTGGTGAATTACATCCTGAACACTGTGTGACACTGTTCTCTAACACATCTTTTTGACTTCCCAAATTGGCTTTACAGGCCTTACAGTACAAATGAAAGTCGACTTTATCCATGTTATTTTGAAACACTTTGTTAAAGGCATACTTTGACCCTGGTACAACATCTTGCCCAAACAAGTGATTGATAAGTTTAAGCAAATCATCAAGCGCAGATCCAGTTATTTGATGCCTTGCAGCATAGGTCATGATCATCAGTAATGCCTCAGCCCTTGATGTTGTACCTGTGGCCACCAGAGGTCTGTCCATGTCCCCGTTTACTCCATTTCCAAATGGATCATTTGAACAGTCCATGTTGATATCTTCCTGTGACTCTGAATCTTCTTCTGATGACATGCTCTCTTGCAATGTGTCTCCATCATCATCTGATGAAGTCAAAGCCTAGCAAGAAAAGCGACATATTAAACACTATTTTCACAACTTTCATAACATTTTCATACAACGTTAATTCATGCTTCTTCCTTAATCATGGATCCACTATGCTGACTATGAAACTATTTCTGAAGTTGGTGGTTTAAAGGATAAATCTGTTGATCTTCTATATTTTTATTTTGTCAACAAATCTTATGTGCAGCCAAACCAACAATGAATTGATCCCACTTACAAGTATTGTGTGTGTACTCAAAGCCTGATATATTTTATTCCTCTGTACTGTAGACCTCCGTTGCTTCCCAAAAGCTATTACAAACATGTCATTGAGACACACCTCTGCACTGGGTGACATGTTCCTTCACCCAGAAGGCAATGGCTAAACATTGGAACAGCTTTAGAGAAATAAACCTCTGTAGAGCAGTTCCTTGTATATCAGACGCTACTGCACATGCGTAAGAACGACCACTGGCCACTGATCTAAAAAGGCCGGTTTTCAGCTGATCGGCTAACAGTGACTGGCAGATCTGTCTCACATATCAGATTTTTTGCTGGTGAAATGTTCCGCCCATAGCCACACTATCGTTCACGTCACGCACACAGTGACGTGCAGCATATAGACAGTGTAGCCACACATAGTGATTCGACTACAAAAATGGAGAATGTACCTCAATCACAGTATGCTGACTTTCATGTGCAGTCTGATCTCCCACTTGTGACACTTCATCTGAAGAGACCTCGTGTTCCTTTTGAAAAAACTATCGTTAGTATATTAGACTGATCAGCTTACTTTCATAAAGTATAAGCCATGATAAGGCGGAAGTAATATATGGATACAGAGTTGACAATGTTGTAGGGCTGCAACTATCATTTTCATAATCGACTAATCTGTTGATCATTGTCTTGATAAAGTGAATGGTTGTTTGGTCCATAAAATGTCAGAAAGTGTGAAAAATGTTGAGCACTGTTTCCGAAAATCCAAGATGACGTCCTCAAATGTCTTATCTTCTCCTGACTAAGAGACCTCATCCCAAATATATTGAGTTTACTGTCATAGAGTACTAAAGAAACCAGAAGATATTCACATTTGAGATGCTGGAATCAGAGTATTTGGATTTTGATTTTTTTAAAGAAATTATTCAAAATTATAAATCAATTATCAAAATAGTTTTCTATGAATGTAATAGTTGGCAACTGGACGACTGCAGCCCTATTATTCTGTTTGTATACCATGTTTAATTTGCCAAAAGTTATAAATAATATAATTCATATATTTGTATTAAATATTTTGGACTCTAGTAGCTAGTTAAATTGCAAGACTTGAAATTAAAGTGCTGACTGTCTGGGCAGTGCTCAACATGCTACTAAGATAACAAGATGACGCTTAACATTTACTACATTTTCACTCACCTTTTAACAGAAACCCGAGAAGAGATTGAGGAGTTAACTGTGAATCCTCAAAAAAGGATAAGAGTCCCCAAGATCCATCACGAAGAAGGCGTTATGGAGGAGAACAATGAAGGGACATCCGCCGAAAAAGATGGCTTAAAAAAGAAGACGGTATGTATGGAGTCAGATTTGGGTCAATATTCTAGCGCATAAAACAAGCTACTCACGAGCGGAAAATGTGCTTTTACACACGCATAAAATGACTCGCGCGCAGATTACACCCCCGCGAGCGGCTATGCGCTCGCTCGCGAGAGAGACAGCCCTCTTGCTCCCTCGCGGGAGTGTCAGCCTTATTCGCTCGCGGAGTCTGTCTACGCGTGCGTGAAAAGTTTCTGACACTTTGGGCCGGAGCCACTGGACTTTGATTGACAGCTGCCGGGAACCCCGGAGTTGCCAGGTTTGATAAATGCTTGAACTACCAAGAGCCGAGGAGTGACAGCTGCAAGATCAGTTGGACGAGATTGAATGGTAAAGTTGTCCATAACTAACTATTATATTCGTAAAGTGTACAGCTAATATATATATCAATTCATTTGATATAAAAAAAATTACATTAATTCTAGGAGTGCAATACTTTTACAAACACTATAGTAATAATATGCATTCATTATGACAATATCATACTATTACGATAGGAGTGTTCTAGTGTGTTCAAAAAACAACTACAGAAACACTATATATTATACTATAGTAGTACTATTTAAAATAGTCTTAATACGGAAACACCAACAAAAACACTATAGTAATACTTTTACAAACACTATAGTAATAATATGCATTCACTATGACAATATCATACTATTAGGAGTGTTCTATAGTGTGTTTAAAAAACAACTACAGAAACACTATATATTATACTATTTAAAATAATATAGGAATACTACAAAGATCATTCTAGATACAGAGTATTACTATTGAAATATTATAGGGCTACTATAGCTAATAAAATTGTATACTTATAGTATACTATAGTAATACTATAGTTCATTTCGTAAGGGAGGTGCATACAGCAGACAGTATAGTAGCAGTTTTCGACAGATACAGCCCACTCAAAAATATATTGTTTTATATAAAAATGTATATATATATATATATATATATTAGCTGTACACTTTACGAATATAATAGTTTTTTATGGACAACTTTACCATTCAATCTCGTCCACTGATCTTGCAGCTCTCACTCCTCGGCTCTTGGTAGTTCAGGCATTTATTAAACCTGGCAACTCCGGGCTTACTTGCAGCTGCCAATCAAAGTCCAGTGGATCCGCCCCAAAGTGCCAGAAATTTTTCAGTTTCAAAGTAGAAGTACCAGAGTGTAGGAATACTCTGTTAGTAAAAGTACTGCATTCAAAATGTTCCTCAAGTAAAAGTAGAAAAGTATTCTCATCAAAATATAGTGAAAGTAGCGACAGTAAAAGTAGTCGTTGTGCAGATTGGTCCATTTCAGAATAATATATATGATATGTTTTATAATGATTGATCATTAAAGTGTTCTCAAAGCTGGTAAAGGTGCAGCTAGTTTGAAGTACTTTGTATACTGCAGGGTAGCATGTGGATTTACTCCAGGTGGAACTAAAGTCTGATTTAACACTTGATTAGATTTCACATCATTCATCCTGATCTGTGAAGTAACTAAAAGGTATTAAATACATGCAGTGGAGGAGAAATACACCATGTACCTCTGAACTGTAGAGGAGAAGAAGAACAAAGTAGCAAAACATTGAAATACTTAAATAAAGTACAAGTATCTCAAAATTGTACCCAAGTATAGTACTTGAGTTTATGAATTTAGTTACTTTACACCAGATGCCATAAAGATAGAAAGACTAAGCCTTGCACAGAGGCATGACAATAGATTTTCAAAATGCTCAACAGTGCTGCCAAAATCATAAACTGACTGCTACACAATTAAATAATATAATATTTTTGACTCATGGCTGAAGTTAAGTTTCTCCAGCTCTCCCCAGGTTGGCAAAAAAATGCATCTCAAAATGCATCAGATTGATGCTTTAAAATATGGAATATTCAAAATGAAACTGTCTTTTCACCGACATCTCTTCACCTGCACTAGTGGCCGTATCAAAGCCGTGATTGGTCAGATGTCGATTCATTGCAACGGTGTCGGGTTACAGACGTGCTCCCCTTGTCACCTCTCACTCTCTCCCGGGGGGTGCGGAGAACTGAGCGGAGAACTGCGCACAGCAGCTGAGGCCCTCTGGGCGGGGCCCCCTGCGCAAGGCGGGGCCCCATGCAGCCTGCGTGATAGGCCTGTAGGGAGGGGCGGCCCTGTATAGTAGCCTAGTTAAAGTGGGCTATTGACTTATTTCCTATATGCTAGCGGATGGGACATGAGCCAAACTAACTAAAACATCAAGGTATAGTCAAAAATGTTTTCCCAAAGATAGTTTCTGTTAGGCCTATGTTTTTATCGCTGATGTTTGTCCAAGTGTTCATTTTTCTGATAAGTTTGTTTTTAATTAGTTATTTAACGGGGTTTGATGTCATAAACCAAAGTAGTCAAGTAGTGTTAGGGGAAACACTGCTTTGGAAAATTATCATTAGCACTTTAAGCATTTACTTAATGTATTATTACTTATTTATTTAATGGTCTAAAAAGTGCAAAACCAATGCTATTTTATTTGTACACAAAAGAAAGGGTCATATTTCTGACATTGACGTTAAAGTTGAATACATCAATGTTACTCAATGCTTTGTATCATTTTATCTTGTAATTTACCTTTTATTTTATTCCAGTATCAGTTTGGGCTCTCACTTGTTTCTTGTTTTTTTTTTACAGAAAGCCATTAAGGCAGCAGAGGGAGGTGAGAAAAGGAAAAGCCTCATGCAAATCCTGAATGAGAAGAAATCCCTGAAAAAAAAAAATCCACTCTACACCATCGAGAAAAAGAGAAAGAGGGAGGAGACACTGCCAGACAGCTTCTCTGACAATGGTGATGGTGATGATGATGATGATGATGATGATGATGATGATGATGATGATGGAGGTGTTGTGCCCCAAAAGATTCATGATGAAATGAAAATGAAATACCACCAACTGCAAAGAAAGCATCAGGCTCTAACACTAGACCTGGACCAATGCAAGCAAAAGTAAGAAATTGTGAAAAAAGTACAAAAAGAAAAGATGATTATATTTATAGCACAATTTATATTTATATTATTTATTCATAACACGTTTACATCACAGTCTTGCATCTGAGATAATATTGGTGGCATATTGGGTTTAATGACATAAAATCATGTTTTTTAAATACAGTTATTTAAAAGTTGTGAACATTTACCTATGTGTTTTTTAAATATCAGTTTTAGGGTAACACTAAACTTCAGATATAATTGGTAGGATGCTAAAAGGTTATTACTGCTAATTTTCATTTTTTCTTCATTTTATAATAAAGATCCACAGAATTGGAGAATAATAAGAGTGAGTTGGAACAGGAGGTGGTCACATACAGAGAGGCAAACCTGACTTTGCAAAACAATATCGATAAACTCCTGAAAGAGGTCTTTTCTCAAAGTGAGTACAATTGTTTTTACTAATTGCAGACAAATTATTTAAGCATAATGGTACTTTTTGTTCAATTTAGCTTTTCTAACTGTTTATTTTTATTAGAATACTCATCAGATACTTCAAAAAAAGACACAAACAGACAAGATCTGCAGTCTACTGAAATGTGTTGCTGTAAACAATTAGCTCATCAGGATGGGCCCACATATAAACTCCCACTCATAGAAATTCCCTTACTGTTAATTTCACTAAGGGAGGGGAGCAACACTCACTTATGGACTGTCTCCCCATTTGTCATTCATCCACTATTTTATTCTGGTGTGTAATAAGTGTTACAGTCTCACAGGGCTGCTATCATTGCAACACTTTTTACTTGTGTTAATCATACTAGGTATCCAGTGTAATATTAATTAATACTATTTTTGAACCTTTTCTGCTACCTCGTCATTTTGTTACCATCAACATTCTGTGGAGAAGGATCTGTGACCTCTCGAACCTGTGAGCCAGCCATTCCACCACTGACACCACCAGGGCAAAACACCACTTCAGAGAGGGAGCCCGATCAGCCGATCCATTGCCCAAGGCATATGTAAAAAAAGGATGGGAAGGTACACCTTTTTTCCATAGGTTCTTGTTCTGCTCGATCCCAAATTGGTGTCTAAATCAGTAGTGTGCATGTCAACACTTGTGTGTTAGTCCTTAGGCATGGCATACATTTGTGACCATTTTGGCAAGTTATTGGACTAACAGACAAGTTATAAACTGAGCTCTATGGGGGTCTTTAAAACTAACGCGTGTCGCGCAGCACGCTCACAGACATAGATTGCGCAATAATGCATTGCGCACCATGGAGGTGCAGTGCAGGCATATTGTCATTCAAGAGATGCATAGTTATTTTGGAAAACATGTTTTTCTTTTAGCCTATTTACCTCGTTAACGTAAATAATACTCATTACATTGACACATGCATTATTTGTGATTAAAATAATGGTTGTTGGTAATGTATTAGCGACCCCCACAGATCTATGATTTCACTATGTCCTTATGGGAGCTCAGCTCCCATGGCTCCCACATAACTCGAACCCTGTCTGCACCCAGGGGCGGACTGGCCATCGGGACGTTCGGGACAAATCCCGATGGGCCTGAAGTGGGCCGGTGGTACCGAAATGGGCCGGTAGTCCCAGTCCGCCCCTGTCTACACCCCTATGCACTGCCATTTCCCCACGTAAACATAACAGTCTGCAATGAAACGGTTGTGTCCTGTGTGCTCCACTTCCTACTTGGCGAACCGTTGACTTGATCGTGCACACGAGATACTTTTTGATGACCCGGCCTTTAGAGGCTCCGCAATTGTCATACAGCTAGAGGCAATAACATAACATTGGCTTGACTGATGCAATTACTAAATAAGTTGCAAAATTGTTTGCAATATATAATGTGTAAATATATTGCTTTTTTCAGATCCACATTGGAACAGACATTTGGCTGCGAGAAGAGGTGTGGAGAAAAATTGATTCCACAACAAAGGACTCGCTCTTTGTGAAGGAGTTGGCTGTAGCCATATGGGGTACAGCAGAGTTAATGGGAAGAAGTGTGTCTGGAAAGGAATGCCCGAGCAAAACGACCGAAGCAAAGCCTCCCTTAACCCCATGCAAGCTTGGGACCGTAAAAGGTATGTGACACATCTCCGTACACTGAATGTCATCTTAAACTAACAAATTAAATACTACAAACATTCAAGACAGACAGGTGATGAAGACTTTTGCAATGTAATTGATCGCTCCGCTCGCCCGTTAGAGCCTGTCATCTTCCAAAAGTCAAGCAGCTTATTACAACCCACAGACACGTTTTAAAGTTTTCAAAAGTGGTCGAGTAAGTTATAACAATCTGCTGTCTCAGGCGGATCATAAACTATGGGATTAGTTTTGTTTCATAATGATAAAGCAACACTTTCCTCCATTGATTTTCATATCAAATTAGTGTGTTAATAAAATAAGCTATCATGGCTTATACTTGCATATCTAAACAGAATCATGAAAGCATGTTGGTAGAGTCAGGCACACGAGTCCATTTGAGTGTGTGCGCCGGTGTCTGAACTCTGAACGCTCACTGCTAGCTATGTAGCTAACTGTTCCTGCTATTAGGCTACTAGCTTGCATTGTTATGGATCTAAAGTTAGCAAAAGCTAACTTTCATAACACAGATTTTCTTTACTTCTCACTTAACTAAAACAATAAAGAAACAGACCGTATAGTACAGCACAAACAACACAAATGATCAATACTTACATATATTTTCACTTGTAGTATTATAATAATTGAAATGCTGGTTCTTCTGGGGGTCTTCTGTCCACGCTCAGCTACCGCACCGCAGCTGCCTGCATTGTACAATCACTGGAGGACTGGGCTGTCACTCAAAAACTGAGTAGCCAATGGGGACGCACCCTTGAAAGTCCCGCCTACCTGGGAGGTTTGTGTCAGAATAGAGAGGCGAAGTCACGCCCATCTACTCCCTGGGACCTTATTTCGGAAAAACTATGTATTGAAGTCAATGGTGAGAGAAAGATTATTTTTCGATCCCGTTTGAATTGTGCCACGAATTACACATATGATGTTTGTTAATCTTAAAAAATAATTTTCATGTCAAAAAAGTCACAGTTTGTCGTAAAACTGTTGAAATATAAGACTATGAAAAATACGCAACTAGAAAGACTACAAATCCCAGAGTCCCGGTCCCGCATGCTGGCTCTGGAACCGACTAACTCCCCTTGTGTGTATGCACAGCTCTCAACATGCCCAGACTTGGAGTGATTTTCACCTCTTTTAATACTTTCCGCCTCATTCTGAAAGAAAGAAGTGAATTGTTCCATCGTGACGTCATTGAGCGGTTTTACGACACATTTTTATTTTTTTTACTTGCAAAATTATCTTTTAAATTGACAAACATCATATGTGTAATTCATGGCACAATTCAAACGGGATCAAAAGATAATCTTTCTCTCCCCATTGACTTCAATACATCATTTTTCCAAAATAAGGTCCCATGGAGGAAAGGGAGGGACTTCACCTCTCTATAGAAAACAAAAAATGAGAAAGCTGCAGCGAGAGCAAAAGTCTGATCATTGAGAAAGAAGCAAAGAGAACTAGAGATAACAGATGTTAAAACAAAGAAAAAAGACTTATAGTTTACATGATTACACAAATGATTTGTTTGCAACATATAGTTTTATTTTTGAAATTAAATTTATTTTGCTTATTTTTTTTCTCTTAAACTCTTAGTTCTGCTTGATTCGGAGAAAGTGTTGCTTTATCTTTATGAAACAAAACTAATCCCATAATAATCATGTGACCTTTGAGGACAGTCAATACAAAATAAAAATGTGTGCAAAAAGTTTATATACATGTAATATAATAGAATATGATATTTACAAGAACAGAATATGAAATTAAATAATGTAAATTAAGAAAAAAATTAAATACGGTGTATTGCGTGGATAATAGACCCAATCACAGTGAATGTTCAAAACTAAATTTGATACATTTTTCTTTTCCATCTCAGAGTGCACATATTTAAGTAATCATAACACAAAGCTAAAAGTTTCCTTTCTCTTTTCAAGAGTGCTTCAGAGGATGGCTGATCAAGCAAAACGTGGAGAAGACCGAGAGGGAGAAGAGGGAGAAGTTGGCCGGTTACTTCATTTCGCAAAAAATACAGGACCTCTTGAAAAAGGGGAAGAAACAGTTGAAATACAAATCTGAAGGAATGGGTGTTTGATGTTTTCCAATTTGTATTAATGTTCATGTTGTGTGTTATAAATGATGTTCCTGCTTCTAATCATTTGATGTATGAGTATTTATTTACAGACAATACATTCTATACATTCTGGTATACCTTTCTGGTAAGGTAGGTGCTCTGATCTGAAATTATAGATGTTCATTGAGCTACTGCAATTGGGTGAGAGTGTTTCATCATCATATATGACCAGCTTAACCACCATTTAATCCCAGTTAAAGTTCTACTCAAGATCATACCAGTCTGACCAGCTAATGGTGACTAGCTAGACCACTGTGACCACCAGCTTTTACCAGCTAAACCAGCTATCCCGACCAGCTAATGGTGACCAGCTAGACCACTGTGACCAAACCAGCTAGACCACTGTGACCAAACCAGCTAATGGTGACCAGCTAGACTACTGTGACCACCAGCTTTTACCAGCTAAACCAGCTATCCCGACCAGCTAATGGTGACCAGCTAGACTACTGTGACCACCAGCTTTTACCAGCTAAACCAGCTATCCCGACCAGCTAATGGTGACCAGCTAGACCACTGTGACCAAACCAGCTAATGGTGACCAGCTAGACTACTGACCACCAGCTTTTACCAGCTAAACCAGCTATCCCGACCAGCTAATGGTGACCAGCTAGACCACTGTGACCAAACCAGCTAATGGTGACCAGCTAGACCACTGTGACCACCAGCTTTTACCAGCTAAACCAGCTATCCCGACCAGCTAATGGTGACCAGCTAGACCACTGTGACCAAACCAGCTAGACCACTGTGACCAAACCAGCTAATGGTGACCAGCTAGACTACTGACCACCAGCTTTTACCAGCTAAACCAGCTATCCCGACCAGCTAATGGTGACCAGCTAGACCACTGTGACCAAACCAGCTAGACCACTGTGACCAAACCAGCTAATGGTGACCAGCTAGACCACTGTGACCACCAGCTTTTACCAGCTAAACCAGCTATCCCGACCAGCTAATGGTGACCAGCTAGACCACTGTGACCAAACCAGCTAATGGTGACCAGCTAGACCACTGTGACCACCAGCTTTTACCAGCTAAACCAGCTATCCCGACCAGCTAATGGTGACCAGCTAGACCACTGTGACCAAACCAGCTAGACCACTGTGACCAAACCAGCTATCCTGACCAGCTAGACCACTGTGACCACCAGCTTTTACCAGCTAAACCAGCTATCCCGACCAGCTAATGGTGACCAGCTAGACCACTGTGACCAAACCAGCTATCCTGACCAGCTAAAGTGTCCAAAACCCCTCTAACCAGCTAACTAATCCAGCCTAATATTGTCTGGCTGGTTTACCAGCCTGACCAGCCAGACCAGCCTTGTTGGTCTAAGCTGGTTTTTTCAGCAGGGACGCTGGCCTTGGGAAGAGGATGCTCAGCCGACAAGAACACTTGATACATAGTGAGGTAATATACATAACAATTGTAATCATTTGCTGTATAGTGAATCTTATTGCATTTTGTTTTAAAGATTGTGGCTGTAGTTCAAGAGGAATTTCCTAAACTCAAAACGTTAAAAGGAGGCTGGATGTTTTACAAGTCGACAGGTACAGTAGCCATTTTTTTATCTCCAATTATAAAATATATTGCTGTTAATAACTGTTATGTGATATCCTACTTTTAAATTAATATTACTATCATCTTTTAAAGTCGTAAAAGTATAATGTATATGCATTAATGTACAAATGGTAAGACTGTTTTAAAGGACACTTTCTGTCGTTCCTCTTTCCATTTTAAAATAGGTGGCAGTGGACGTCGCAAGCTTTCCATAATCCCAACAGACTCGGAGGGGCACTCAACAAGGCTCCTGAAATCAGCCACCAACAAAAGCGTAGTGTTTGTGGTTCCACTGCAGAACCACTGCCATATGATTCAGTCGAGTTCACAGAGATGCCACAGTCAAGCTGCACATCACAATGCCTGAAAGCAGTTATTCCAACATTTGTTTTTATTTCTCCAATAAATATGTAAATATGTTTTTGTGCAAATGACTGTTTCAAACATGTATCTATACTACTAGCTCTTTATTCTAGGAGACTGAATCTCTGGTTCCCATGGATGAAGAATGCCAAACTAATCCCTACCGCAGGGATTGGAGAATCCTCTGAGGTAAATGTGTAGGGTATAACACATTTCAGCAAACCTTTTTTTTTTGTACTGTAACACACACTCACTTGTATGTGCTATTTTTTTAGCAGGTTTGCCCACTTTGTCTTGGATCATACCCAATGATGTCCATGCAAGCACATGCGGTGACAGGTAATATATCTCCAGATATGCAAAAAACATAAAGCGAAATATTTTCTTATGATATAATTTTACATTGCTTTGTATGATAGACGATATGCAGGAAGAAATATGTGAACATAATCACTGATTTGTCCCTATTTGCCATTCTTTATTTGTTGTTGTCTTTTCTTAGAACTGACATCGCTAACCGAAGCGAAGCAGACAGTCTCATAATTGTAAAGGAAACTTCTGTGTAGCAATGCAGTGGGAGTCACTGACTCATGAAGGAGACACAGGACGAGCAGGAGTTCTGATGTCAAACACTGAGATTTAATACAAGCATCGGCCGGAGAAATTCACATCACAAGTCACACAGTCAAAGGTTCTGACTGCACGGGTGGTTTGCCATGTCAAATCTGATCAGCCTCGCATCTTGGTAGACCTTTTAACTAGTTTACAGAGAGTTAATCCACATATTGGGGATGGGCGTAAACCATGGCGTAAACACATCTGCGGAGGAGATATCTCTCCCATCTCTGGAGCTTAGAAGCTAGCGTTCTCACACTCGCAAGACCTCCCTATGCCCTGTAGGTCAAGCTGTAAAACCTAGTATCAACATACGACTGCATTATCACATTCCTTACGGGAGATTAGAAGCAGGGATGGTCGTACATGTCAACACACAAAATAAGGTTAAATGTCTAGGAGTAAAGACAAAATGAATCCCTAACAATAATGACAGAGGAACTGCCAGGACCTTCAGTTCCACGATTGTCAACAACATATTCAGCAGGTTATTTATTCAGAACACTTACTGCTGTGTTGTAGTTTTAAAATAGACCACTTTTTTTGGGCTGTAAATGGTTACTCACGAAGACCGTTACAAAACAATGATCCCAAAAGAAAACACTAACAATTTTTACTATTTCAAATGATGTTTTCAGCTTGGACCAGTAAAGTGGACCCAGAAAAGCACGTCAGTTGTTCAGAGAAGAACTTCTGGGCCGGATGTCGAAGCCTTTCTCTTTTGATTGACATGTTTGATACAGAAGAACAGGACAGTTCTTTTATTTCTTTCTTCAAAAGGAATAATGTCAACTGGGCAGCTCCATTGAAGTGCAGGCTGATAGGTATTACAAAACATCACCTGGGTTACATTTTGACTTTTTTGTTTGATCTTGCATAACGAGGGGTTTAGTGCATGTTCTTTCACAGAAGATAGAATGTGTTACATTTATTGTAGTGGAAGCACAAAAGCCAAACGGGGTCTTAGTAACTTTTATTTGAATATAATTGAGTTGCTTGCACTTTCCACTCATATCCTTTATTTCCAAGGAGACGCAGCTTCAGTATCAATTCAGGTGAGGTGTCACCTATTGTCTTTTCATGATAAAACATGTTTATTGTTCCTTTAATTGAATGAAATCAGGGAATACATATTTTGATGTCAGTTACAGACAAATTGATTGTTTTTAATCAATTGTGATCATCAATATCTTGTTGCTTGAGCTTCAACATTGTAATGGCATTACATGGTGTCTTTTACATGTTTTCCTTTATTTTCCTATTTAGCTGCTCTTACAAGCCTTTTTGAAGGGGAAAATGAACACCGGGTTTTGTCTATGGTCATTTTTAAATATTATTTAAAAAAAACACAAGATATATAAAACTAGAAATGAAAAATAATATAATGAACACTTCACATACAGATAGCATGCAAACACACCAATGACAAATGACAAAGTATGTCATTAAAATTACATATATTGAATAAATACATGTTTCTTTAAATATACAGCCACAAAATCACGTGGAGCTGCATAAAAATAGACTCACAAAGGTAACTAATATTTACAAATGTGTACAATGATTTGTAGGTAACTTTGAAGCTTCGGCATAATTACAAGCGGAGAACGGACTAATGTAACATCACAGCAAGCATAACAACAGCCGGTGTTTCTTGTGAGTGTTTCCCTGGTACACAAACACACACACACACACTCGCGAGCTTCCCCCAGACCAGCAATACAAACAAAAATGTGTCTTCGGGTCAATGTGACTGATTTCGATAGAGCAAGTCACATTTGGTTTAGGCACGAAACATACTACCAGAAGAAATACATTGCTTTCAAAATCGCTCTGTGTCGAATCAATAGATTATATTTCGTGACTATAACACAAAATGCCGTGAGTGCTTCATCCTCTGAACACCACAGGATGGCGACTGTAACGCACATAACATAGGTACGCTCCACTGAAATGATTGTCCCCTGCAATTATTATTATCCCTCATGGAGTTCGCTATTCAGCTCGCTAACGTTAGCTTAAACAAACGTAACATGCAACGTTAGCTTAATCTAAAATGCTCTACTACGGCGTACCTTTCATGTGGCTCGTCAGCGCAGACTCTCGCATCGTTATTTGTTGCAAACTTTGCAGGAGGCTACTCGTGGGCTTGACCCTCGTCTTAGCCATGGCTTGTATTTGTCTTCTGCTAGCCAACACTCGTTGAAACTGCAACCTCCTGGCACACAGTCATCTATCACTCTCATCAGAATGCCCAGGTCACACGTAACACAAACACTTGCAGGTCGCGCGCATAGCGCGGGAAGGCTGGAGCGGAGCTGTTTTATGTAGAAGTGAAGCAACTACGCGCGCTCCGACTTCTTTATTTTCTTTTAATCTAAAAAGCGAAGTAAAGCATTTACAATTTCAAGCACTTTATCCCAAATGCGAGCACCATTCCCAAAATTCAAGCACTTTTCAAACCTTGAAAACACCTCGTACAATTTCAAGCATTTTCAAGGATTTCCAGCACCAGTACGAACCCTGGAGTGTGGGGGACTTGGTGCACTTACGTTCTCCCCATGCTCCTTAGGGACCTTGGAAACGTAGTGCGCAGTGTATAGTCACTTGCACTGGCACCTGCAGGGTGGAGCTATGGGCTTATTCAGACCAATTAGGCTCCACCCAGCCAAGCTGCAGCCCGACTTCTCCACGGTCTCAACCGGATAGGAGGAAGTTGGGGTGCGGTGGATGTTAACCAAAGGCCGGTCAGGGGCAGTGTGATGGGTCGATGTTGTTGGACGACAGGGTGTTTATACATCGGGGCTCTACCCACTGTACCCATAGAGTCCGGTAGAGGGCGGAGCCTGTGTGAGATAGAACGGGGGGTTACGTATTGTAACCCTGGTTATATAAGCACAGGCGGAGCCCTCTACCTGGGGGCCCTGTCTTTCCTATGCCGCTCGCTGAACAGGGTGTAGGATGACAGTCGGGAGGTGTAGCCGCCTTATTTGCCCGCGCATTCAGGGAGGCTCGCCCTGATTGGCCGGCTACGATTATACAACTTCAGTGTGTGAACGCTCGCATATCGCTGATGAGAGTAGTACCCATAGAGTCCAGGAGACCCCCGTTATTGTTTCGCCCATGACAAATTGAACACAAACTGGAGTTTAAATAATTTGCCTTTTTGACTGCCTTGTGCAGGTTGATTGCCAATAAAGCAAAAATTGAAAGTCTGATTATATATAAAAAAAGATTTCCCTTTGGGAGAATCTGATAATGTAGATTAATTAACCAGCGGCCATATGCAGACGCAGCCATGGTAGATGTCCCACTTTTTGACTGCAGACCAATTAACTAATGCTGGTTAATTATGGCTGCTAACTCCACAGAGGAATCATTTGGGAAATGCACTAGAAACTGCAGTAATTACAAGACTGGAGAAGTGGAGGATGGGCGGTAAGCTGTGTTGTCTGACAGGAGGAAGCTTTCTCTACACCATTGTCACCCTGAAATAGGAGGCGTGCGTGTATATATTTCACTATAAAGCATGCAATTTTAATCTGTCCAATAAAACAGCTCCCAGTGCAGCAGCGGATCGCTTACAAGGATGTAAAAGTTTGATGCGGCTCTTGTCAGGTTGGATTTAGCGTCCTCGGCTCTGTAAATCGCAGACCGTATGGCCAAGTGCGGAGTGCTGGATCTCAATCCTGATTTATTTATCGTCGTCTTGTGTCTGCCAGGACAGGCGATGCAGCTTGGCCTATTTCTGTTCCTGCACTATACTTGGAGTATCAGGTCCCGTGCCACTTTAGTGATGACATTATGTCATATGTCATTTTTACAAGCAGGGCTAATTTGATATCAACAAACCTTAGTAGTCAATCAATCAATCAATCAATGTTTATTTATATAGCCCAATATCACAAATGTTACATTTGTCTCAGTGGACTTTACAGTTTGTACAAAATATCAGTATGACAATACGACACCCTCTGTCCTTAGACCCTTACATCGTACAAGGAAAAACATCCGAAGAAAACCCACAGTTTAAAGGGACAAATGGGAGAAACCTCAGGGAGAGCAACAGAGGAGGGATCCCTCTCCCAGGACGGACAGACGTGCAATAGATGCTGTGTGTAAATTGAAAAGATAATACATTTGCAACATAGGTAGTCCAAATGTTTGGAAATGCATGTGTGTATAATAGGAAGATGAATCCACGAGGATATCCATCCAGGACCTATGATCCAGGACCACAGCCACGACTCAAGATCCAGGGCTCGCGATCCAGGACAGAGGAGCACAGGATCATCCATGACTCCGGATCCCGGCGTATATAGACACCAAAAAGAAAGACATTTGGGGAAGCTGGGTTAATCGGAACATGAGAGTACACAGGTATAGACAGAGAGAAGGAAGAAGTAAGATGTCCCCCGACAAACTAAGCCTATATCAGCAAAACTAGGGGCTGAATCTAATCAGCCCTAACTATAAGCTTTATAAAAAAGGAAGGTCTTAAGCGCACTCTTAAAAACGGATAGGGTGTCTGCCGCCCGAACACAAACTGGAAGCTGATTCCACAAATGTGGAGCTTGATAAGAAAAGGCTCTGGCTCCCATTGTACTTTTAGAGACTCTAGGAACAACCAACAACCCTGCATTCTTGGAACGCAATGCCCTAGTAGGACAGTAGGGTATAATGAGTTCTTTAAGGTAAGATGGCGCCTGCCCATTAAGGGCTTTGTAGGCGAGAAGAAGAATTTTAAATTCTATCCTGTGTTCTATAGGGAGCCAGTGTAAGGCAGCCAGAACAGGAGTAATGTGGTCCCTTTTCCTAACTCTGGTTAGTACACGAGCTGCAGCATTTTGAATCAGCTGAAGCGACTTCTTGGTACACCCTGATAATAAAGAGTTACAATAATCCAGCCTTGAAGTAACAAATGCATGGACTAGTTTCTCTGCATCGTTTTGAGGCAAGATATGCCTTATTTTTGCAATGTTACGTAGATGGAAGTAGGCGGTCCTTGAAATTGATTTTATGTGGGCGTTAAAGGATAAATCCTGATCAAATATAACACCAAGATTCCTTACAGTCTCACTGGAGGCCAAATTAATGCCATCCATAGTTAGTATATCCTTAGATAATTTGTTTCGTAGATTCTTCGGGCCAAGTACAATAACTTCAGTTTTGGTCGTGTTTAACATCAAAAAGTTTAATGTCATCCACGTTTTTAAGTCCTTGAGGCAGTCTTGAATTTTATTTAGATGATTCATTTCATCAGGCTTGATTGATAAATATAGTTGAGTATCATCCGCATAACAATGAAAATGTACAGAATGATTCCTTATAATATTGCCTAACGGAAGCATATATAATGTGAACAAAATAGGTCCGAGCACTGAGCCCTGTGGCACTCCATGGCTAACTTTGGTTTGCGTGGAAGATTCATCATTGACACGTAGAAACTGAGAGCGTTCAGATAGATAGGACCTAAACCAGCCTAAAGCAGTTCCCTGTATGCCAACTAAGTGCTCTAGTCTTTGCAATAAGATATCATGGTCGATAGTATCAAATGCAGCACTGAGATCGAGCAAAACAAGAATAGAGACACGTCCCTTGTCAGAGGCTATTAGAATGTCATTTGTGACTTTAACCAGAGCTGTCTCTGTGCTATGATGTGTTCTAAAGCCAGACTGAAAATCTTCAAATAAATCATTGTTTTTTAAGTAATCACACAACTGTTTTGCGACCGCTTTCTCAAGCATTTTTGAGAGGAACGGAAGATTGGAAATAGGTCTATAATTGGCTAAAACCTCTGGATCGAGGTTGTGCTTTTTAAGAAGCGGTTTTATCACTGCTACTTTGAATGATTGTGGAACATAGCCTGATAATAAAGACATATTCATAATGTTTAATAAATAAGTGCTAATTAATGGAAAAACTTCCTTCAACAGCTTAGTTGGAATTGGGTCTAACATACACGTTGATGGTTTAGAAGAGAGAATCATTTAATTTAATTGTTCAAGGTTTATGGCTGAAAAGCATTCTAGTTTACTATCTAGTGTAATATTAGAACTTACGTTTCCGGGAGCTGTTGATAACACTATACTGGTCAATGGCAAGAGGTCATTAATTTTGTTTCTAAGAGTAACAATTTTATCGTTAAAAAAGCACATAAAATCATTACTACTGAGTGCTATGGGAATAGAAGGCTCAATCGAGCTGTGGCTTTCTGTCAGCCTGGCTACAGTGCTGAAAAGAAATCTTGCATTATTCTTATTCTCATCTATTAATGAAGAGTAGTAGGCTGCTCTCGCTTTACGCAGTGCTTTCTTATATTCATTGAGAGTAATATGCCAAATTAAACGAGATTCTTCAAGTTTAGTGGAACGCCATATCCTTTCAAGTTGTCTCGACTTTTGCTTTATTTTGCGGGTTTCGGCATTAGGCCATGGAGCTAATCTATGTTGTTTTATTTTCTTCCTTTTCAAAGGAGCAACAGAGTCTAATTTTATTCGCAGCGCATCTGTAGCACTATCAA